ACGTCTTTTCAACGAGTTTTTGCTGAGTGGGATCTAGCGGTTGGGATATAAACTCAAAACGAAACAACTGCCATGAATCTTGTATACATTTTTTTTTTTAAATATAGATATTGCGTTTTTGAGAATCTATACAGTATCGCCATGCTGAACAAAATATCGCGATACTCACGTGTATCGATATTTTCTTACACCCCTAGTAAAAGCTATGACAAATGTGACTGTTTGGCAACTGAACTGTTGCCAAAGCACAAAAAAAACTAATTTAGTGTTTTCCAAGGCTCATATTTACAAAATAAAGACGTCTGGGAATCCTGAGGTCTCATGAGACCAAGTCAACCATTTCGGATTTAACAGCTTCCAAAAATGTTCTGGTGTTGCTAGAGGAGGAGTACAGTAAAATGTGCCTGGTTCTCACAGTGAAGTTTGGTGGTGGTAAAGCTCTTATATGAAATGTGTAAGTGCTGAAAATGTGAAGGAGTTGTTCTTTATCAGTGCTGTCATGAACTCACACTAAACCAAAAACTTGAAACGGAAGATGGCACCCTCTCCTCATTCCCTGCATTGATGGGCATTTTTTCAACATGACAACTACTATATACATCCTCACAAGATGAAAATCCTTCAGTGCACAAGCATTTCACCCAGTCTCAACACTCTTGAGCACCTGTGGGGGATTCTGTAGAGATGAGTTGAGCAACACTCCCCATTAAAGACCAGGGCTCACCCTCCAGAAGTTAAACAGGACAGATGTGACAATTTGTCATGAACTTGTTAACTCAATCCCAAGAAAGTACTTAAAGTTATGGAGGACATATGGTGAATTTAATCAAGGGTGTACTCTTTTCTCCATTTAAACAAAATTGGCTAATTTACTTATTTTACAGATATTAATGACATATATTTCTGTTTTTATTGAGTATATGTTTAATACATTTCAATTTTGCCATCTTTCCATACATTGTATTAGTGATCATTAAGAAAAAAAACGTTTGTATTTGTTCAGAGGGGGTGTACACTGAGTACTGTAGTAATAATATTCATTGTAATGTTGAAAATGAACTGTATGATCTCACTAGGTTTAATCTCTTTTATTGTATGGGTTGTTTGTTTCCTCTCCTAAAGGGAAGCTTCTGTAAATGATTTTATCTGTCTACGGAAATCTGAAAAGGACAACCAACAACACAACACCTGTTTGTGTGACAAATATAACAATTAAGGCCCTTTTCCAGCCACTTGAATGTGCGGGGTTTATAATGGAGCTGTTTATTTCCACAGCTGCAGAACAGTGACCCGACACTTACTTACTGAGGCCAATTCTATTTATATAATATTTTTAGTGAAAATATTCCCCTAAAAATTGGGACACCACTACTATGCTACTATACGTCACCATACGTCGTCTAGCTTCTACAATACACACATCTGTACTGGTGTGCTGGTGTGCATTAGAGCCTTTAATTACCGTTCTATATTAATGCGCTGCTTACTGACACAAACACACACACACACACATATATCAGAGATCGCGCAGCTCACACATCCAGGAGCAAAGAAACGTGTCAACGCTGCCCCACGACTTTTATTAATAACAGTTTAAATACTGAAGCACTACATTATATTTTCCAGCAACAAGAGGATAAAATCGCTGTTTTTGAAGTAAACTCACTCTAAACAGAGCAACGCACAGACGCGCATACACGCAACTTTCATCTCTCTCTCTCTCTCTCTCTCGAATTGGCAATATTTGAGAAAAGGGTTTAGCGATTTCTAATTATTGGGGGGACTAGCCCTCCTCAATGTCTACGGTGGTTATCGCCCTGATCAGACATGAAAATATGTTGTGGCACTATCGTGCAGTCTGTAATGATATGTGACGTTAGCAAACTTTAGCGATTTTTTGCAAACATTTCTTTGAGCAACATGACCGTAAATATGAACTCGCGATTGAATGTAACATAATTTTACTTTTTACTTAAGATTACTTTTCGTTAAAATCTTTATTAATGCCAAAAAAATGCTTACATTTGTGTCTTTTTGTTCTCTCCGGCAGCCATATTGCCACTGAAGCCGGTTTACGTTGAGATAATTCATACCCCTTCGTTTGAAGTGTGGTCCCGAAAAATCTTCGTTTGAAGGGCTATCGGGCCCTACCCCTCCAACCAAAAGAGAATCGAGACACCCCTACCCCTTCACGTGAACGCGCGAAACGGAGGGGTAGGGGAAAGGGGAAGGGTAAGGGGTAAAATTGGGATTGGGCCTAGTCTATTTTAACACAATGACCCATCCTAATAAAACCCCAACAGTCCTCTACATGTCATGACTCGGTAGTATGACCTCTGGAGGTCTTCACAAAGAGGGCCTGTGAAACAACAGAGGAGGAGTTTTTACAACATGAGGAAGCATCAGCTGTGAAATGTAAATCCTGTAAATACTATACCACTGAACTCCAGAAATGTCATTGTTAAAGGATACTGTGGTTTGCATACTCTTTATTTTCACACGCAATGGTTTGCATACTCTTTTTAGCAGTATCTTGTACACAGACTGTCGGAAAGATTTTATTTTGAGTAGCAGAATCAATCAATTCCCTTTGACTCCTTCACTCGCCCCAGAGGAATTTGAGGAATTTCAATTAACTGGTAATCCAGAACTCCCAGATTCACATGGTCTCAATGCAGTCGCCGGGAGGAAAGCAACAACAGGAGTTCTTTCCACCTCCCACAGTCCTGGAAACCAAAAAGATAACGAGTGTACATGTTGCATAAAACATCTGATTATTATTACTTTTCCAGTTTTCTGTTTGAATATATTTGAAAAAGCAGTTTATTCCTGTGAATTTTCAGCAGCATTCCTCAAGTCTTCAGTGTCACATGATCAGAAATCATTCTAATTTGCTAATTTTATGACCAAGAAACATTTTTATTATTATTATCAACAGTTGAGCTGCTTAACAATTTTGTGAAAACCACAACTTTTTTTCAGGATTCTTTGATGCATAAAGAGCTCAGAGGAACAGCATTTATTTTCAAATAGAAATCTTAAATGTCTTTACTGTCTCCTTTGATCAATTTAATGCATTCTTTCACAGTAAAATAATTTCTTTCTTTCAATAAATAAATCTTACTGACCCCAAACTGTTGAACATAGTGTACATTAGTTGTATCATACAACTAAGAGTGTTATGACCATTTATCAGTACGGAGTGTGATATTGCTTTTAGAGTTAATAAAATATCATGCAAGATGAAAATGAATACAAAGTGACACAAGTACTATAAATTCAAGGAACAAAAACCTCTTAATGCAAAAGTCGAAACTCTGACACCATGACTCACAACGCGGAACAATTCTGTTATTACTATACATGTATGATTAATAGTCACCTACTGTGTTTGTAATATCAAAACAGAAACTGTAGCTATAGCTTTGTCATTTTGTGATTCACCACTCATTTAGTCACTAATTACAAAACGAGGCTAAGCAATCACTGCAGCATTTTCAAAGGGCAATAATACTATAAAACATTAAAACAATTTCAATATTGTGAAATCCCCATGCAGCATAGAGGTTTATTCTTCTGTTTTACAATCAAATATTGTAAACGTATTGAACATGTTCAAACGTGTGTCTCATGAGAACTAAAGGAGCTGAGAAGTTACAATATAGATCAAAGTCTCATTCTGAAATTGCTTTCTTGGAAAAAAGCTAACGTGTAAAGACATGTCAAAGAAACCAATCAAGCTACAGCTTTGTGTCACTGCTAGATGGAGAGTCTCGAGTGCTTTAATTAGCCTATGAGTTTTGAATAACAGTATAGAATATAACGGTAATGTCTTCAGTTGTTGCACAGCATTTTAAGCAGGGCCTTCATTACATATGTGAAAAACTTTACGAAAAGCTGATCCCCTCCAATTGATAGTGTTTGCTTAGAACTTTATTACCTCATTTTCCCTAGCTATCATTTGATTATATGTGGAACATTTATAACAGTAAGTTTGAGAAACTCATAAAACTCCATTAACGTATTTTTTATGTAAGTAATGTTCCTCGTTATAAAAGCCTAATGGAATTAAATGAAGGACTTACATAAAGTCACATCAGCACTTTTCACATCCATCTCCAACACCCTACATGAAACTGGAAGCTACTTAAATCTAATGTATCATTTACATCAAGAACTGCTTCCACTGCACTTTAACAGACAATGACTGGTGACCAGGTACAATGCAGTGACTAAATGCACTACCGTTCAAAAGTCTGGGGTCAGTAAGATTTTTTATTTTTTTTGTGTGCGTTAAAGTAATATTCAGCAAGGATGCATAAACTGATCAAAAGTGACAGTATGAAAAAAGATTTCTATTATATATAAATGCTGTTCTTCTGAACGTTCTGTTCATCAGTGTTAAAAAAAAAATGAATCACGAGTTCCCCCAAAATATTAAGCAGCTCAACTATTTTTAACGATGATAATGATATAAGAAATATTTCTTGAGCTTCAAATCAGCATATTAGATTCTATGCCACTGAAGACTGGAGTAATGGCTGCTCAAAATTCAGCTGTGCCATCACAATTACATTTTAAAATATTTTAAAATAGTAAAGTTATTTTAAATGATAATAATACTTCACAGTTATTGTTTTTATTGCACTTTAAACTGTAGCGTTTATTCACTTGAAAACGAATGTGCCTCCTTATAAGGCCAAATCTACTCGGGGCAAGGCCACAGCCTTGACGCCTTTGTCTTTAATATTATTATAACTACGCAGACATGAAAGTTATGACTGACCACAAGTCTTATGAGCCTAAGTCATCTAAGAGGCAGGAGACCATAACAAAATTATCAAAATTCCAGGTTTTCTTCAAGAGAACACATCCTTTGTTGTATCAACTGTGGTTTGAGGGCAGGACTGTTCTTGACTACTTACAAGCAACCCAATTCATAAAAAAAGGGTTGTTGTAACACTATTCGTTAACAAGAGAATACAAACGCTTTCGTGATATATGGTGTGCAATGTTTATTGAAACAGATTACAGATTAACACTGGGTCAATCCCTTTTAGAGCAGTTAGGAAGAATCGTGTTGGTAGAAAATGTCAAAATGATCCCCTTTAGACATAGTTTGAAGAGCTTAGATCTTGGCCACAGAGCACTGCATGTGTACGGTAGTCTGGAGAGACACAAAAGAAGCGCTAGAGAAAAAAGACAAGACATTGGAGTAACCATAGCGCTTTTTAGTCAAATCTCGCCCTTTCACTCAATGGCCTCAGTCTCTGAAATTTATGCGGCGGTCCTCTTCTGAGAGAGGTTGATTTTATCACCCAGACTCAAAGCCATACCCTATGAAAAAACAAAGAGGAATTATCAATCATGCATAAACTACACAGGCAAATTCAAGAACTGACTGTTGTAAAAAAAATCAATTATGACTTTGTAACTGACCATTAAAATAGACAAATGACTATACATAATCCAAATTCACCTGGCTTTTGGCTCGGATGCGAATATGGCCATTGACTGGGGCATCAGGTCCCATGTGGATTGGCTTTTCAATGCTGACGTTTGCAAGGGCATCCTCCCCAAATATAGAGCGGGCATATAGATTTGCTGCCATAAAGCCACAGATGCCGGACAGGGTCTGAGTTACAAAAGCAAAACATGAGATATGAATGAAATAACATTATAACGTCACAGAAGCATTTACTGTTCTCATCGAGTGGGTACTGTACCTTCTCTGGGGTCAAGCACTTCATGTTGGTAGATTTAAGAATGTGTTGAAGGTAGTCGTTCAGATCTGTGATGTTGGTGTTGACGGTAACCTGTGTGGAAACAAAACGCAGAACAAATTCCAGACATTCCCTCTCACAAAATGGAGATTAACATAGCCATTATCTGCAAAAAGGAATCACCAGACACCCAAGACTTGCCTTATTTTCCCACTCAAATTCAGCCCACATCTGTCTGAACTCGGTGTCTGTGCAGGAGGCCGGCTGAATGTAGTCCATGATATCAATGTGAATGTCGCTGAGGACTACGCAGTTCCTGTCACTGGCTGCTCCTGATATATCATATACTGCAAAACAGGCGGTTTTGTTTATTAAAGTGATTCCACGTCCCTCCTCAACAACAAAAACTTGTACAGGTATGAATAAGGACAGCTCCACAAACCTATGTTTCCAAATATGATGCCATTCTCTGTGGAGGCTACTTTCACATTGGCTTTTATGTTGGCAAAGTCGTGAGGAGCCAATGTAAGAGGAGATGGTTTCTCAACCAATTTAAGATCACCTGGAGATTGAAGAACATGTTCAGTAAAACATGCACCAAACACATACAATAGAGGGTTTTTTTAAGGATCAAAGGAACAACTTGTACCAAGTGTTGCCAGCTCCAGGGTACAGTTCTGTAGGGTGTCGCTAGTCTGATTAACAACCAGGACATCCAGGACAATGTCATACTGATTGACATGGACATAAGCTTCTGCGTACACTGGATCTGAGAAACCAGTTAACTGGGTGACCTGGAAGAAAACATGAGACAGCTCAGTCCGGGACAATGGCTTTCAACCAGGTGGCCGAGGGCCAATAGGGGGCCTTAAGATAACTTAAAATTACTTAAAATAAGAAAAATCAAGCTAAAAAGAAAAATAATAATAAAAATAAGCTAAAAATTCTTCTTTTTTAACTTAAAAAAAAAAAAAAAACAGGGTTCTTACAGCTCTTAAGGTAGACTAAGTTTAAAATGGATATTTCTAGACCTGGAGTCATAATTATTTTTTTTTTTAATAGAATAAGATTTTTGAAGAACATTTAGCTCTTAAAACTTTCAAAGTGTAATTATTTTAAATTAAAAAAAAACCTTCATTACATCTATAAGGGAAGAGGGCCTTCAAATATTGTTGAGGACAAAGGGGGGCCTTAGATTCAAAAAGATTGAGAACCACTAGTCATGGTAATCTAACTGATAAACAAATGCACAAAAATTTAAAAGACCAGAAGCTCACATTTCAAATGAGGATGATGAGTTAATTTGTACTCCTGCCTGATGTGAGGCATTAACAATTTCCATCAGTCGAACCAACATGCCCTCTGGTGGTCAAAGATGACAAACTACAAGCAACCTTTCCAATTATGTTTAAGCTTCGCAACTAGTCGTCATCATCATAAAAATATGGCTT